ATTAGAGATATATATATACTTGTATGTACATCTCTAAGACTGTTTTTTAAGTTGAAACTTGAATTTGAGGAAACTTCAGAAAAAAAAAAAACAAAATCGAAAACGAAAAYAGAACATCAACATATATGGAATTCTTTAGCAAAATTATATAAAGCAAAAGCCGTTAGACACAGAGAAAGAGAGAGAGACAGAGATGATGATGAGAAAGTGCAAGCTAAGATAAGGAAAGATAATGAGAGAGACAGAGAGAGAGAGAGAGAACACAGGCAGACCGTGCAATCTGTAGGCTGGATTTGTGAATGATAATGAAATTGATCCGATATGCTTATACTGCTACCTATTACAGCATTGTATCCGTAGTACAGTTAACAATGATGCGCCATTTAAATATATATATATATATACAATATAGTCTATAGTTTTTTGCTCTTTGATCACGCCAAGATCGCAGCTCACGCAACGTTGATCTATATTAATTTAAATGTAGATCCATACACAGTAGGAGACAACTTACAGCTAAATTGTAGTAATTGAATTATATAACCGTAACAGTAACAAAAAGCAATTGCTCTCGCTATTTTTGTCTTAACTTTTAGACATATATACATATGTATGTAATATTAAGCAATTTTGTTTATAACAAAATCATTGTGATTATTGCTAGAAAAGAACACATTTTACATAAATAAAAAATAAACTATCTAAGTTTTAAATTGTAACAAATATGAGTCGAATTTTATGTCAACTTTTTGGTTCATTAAGGAAAAAGGAAACCAGAATTTTTTTGTAACCTTTGAAAAACTGATTTCAAACTATTCAACTATTCAATCATTTTTCATATATCTAAATTTGTCAAATTTATACCAAGAGGAGTTTAATCTTTTCTTCAAGCATAAGCATATCAATTTTCCATGTACTCTATACGTAATTTTTACAGGGTACAGTTTAGCTGAGATGCGACCAAATTTGAATTTGCATGACCTAAGCACGTTTATGTAGAAGTTCTCAATATGTCAGCGTATTTCAGAGCAAAAAATTTCCCATGTATGACAAAATATATATACAATTATATATATATTT